AATCCTTGGAGAAGAACATCATACTCGGAAATGTGGAAGGACAGCACAGGAGAAGACGACCTTGAATGAAATGTATCGACTCAGTTACTGAGGTAATGGAAGTAGGTGTGTTGGAGACAGTGAAATTGGCTCAAGAAGGGTTCTGAGCTGTTGTACATAGGGTTGTTATGATTCACTAACAACACAACAGCACATAAAAACAATAACAAATGTCCCCCCCCTTGAAGATGATAGATAGGTTCAGAGAGTTCATGATATGCTTCTCTCCATTTTTATTTTTATGTTTAGAGTATTTCTTAATAAGCAGAGATGAATCTTCAGCAGTTTTAAAAAGAAAGCTCATAAGAAGTATTTACACGAATGATAAAAACAATATTTCTGTTTGCCACTGTTCTTGTCAGGGTTCCATCTTCCTTCCCTTTTCAATATTGCCTCTCCTTCTCTATCTTGCAATATATTTGTTATTTGTTTTGTCTTAGAATCTTTGCAGTTTTTAATAAACAGTGAGGTATGGTTCTCTTGCTTCCTTCCTTTCTTATACCTACTATGTTTAATTGTTGTCTTAGTTTCCTAGGGCTGCTGTTATATAAATGCTACCACTGGATGACTTTCATGAACAGAAATTTATTCCTTATAGTTGTGGAGAAATCAAAGTCCGGAGTGAATTGGTAGCCTGGGCTGTTCTTGATTCCTTGGCTTGTAAATAATCTTCAAACTGTGTATGTCTTTCTCAGTTTGATATTGTTTGGTAACTTCAGCATTCATCATTTATTTGGGGGATTGGCACAAATATGAATCTCTTCTAGTTGGTTTGCCATACAAATTTACTGGCATAGATGATTGCAGATGAAGAAATCACATCTATTTGTTGAGGTATCTCAACTGTATTCTTGTAGAATTATTTTTGTCAATGTTTTTAGTTCAACTTGCATTTCTTATTTCAGCACCATCAGTTCTTGATAATGTATTACCTCCTGAAATGGCTGAATGTTGACAGATTCTGTTAGATACATGACTGTCTTCCCTCATATTTTGATATTGTGCTGTTCAAGTTTTTGTCTATTGTTTTTGTTGTTGATTGTTGATTGTTGTTGAGTTGAGAATTACTCATAGTGACTCTTATGAACAAAATCCCTGAACCCTGTTCTATAACTATCGTTGTTTCTCTAAGTTCATAGAGTTTCTAGAGGCATGTTGTTTAGGAAGTGGATGCGCTCCTGCTTAGAATTTTGCCTATGAGACCCTTTAATATTGCTATTCAAGGGCTAATTTTTTTTTTTCTTCAGCTCTTTTAGCTTGAAATGTTGAGTGTGTTCTTCCCTTTTGGCTTTCTGATGTTAAGGTTTTGCACATTTTTCTATGATACTTTGTCATCTTAAGCTGTCTTTGGAATATGTTCAGCTCCCATCTTTTATTCTCTTTATTTTAGTTATCCTAAGTTGAAGACCAAGTTTCAGAATCCCTTTTAAAATCTATTTTAGTCTTCTTTAGGAGTTTTCTTCTTCTTCTTCATGTATAACTTGTCTGGTTTTGTTCATTAGTATTTAATGCATTCAATCTATTCTTGAGATGGTTTCTAAAATTACATGGGGTATACTTATGACTGTATTTTCATTCTTATGAGCTTGTTTTAATTTTCCTCAAGTTTTAAGCTTCAGCTTGAACTTGTATATGAGCAGTTGATGGTCTGTTCCACAGTTGGCTCTTGCCCTTGTTTTGACTAGTGATACTGAGTTTCTCCATCCTGCTTTCCACAGATGCAGTCAATTTAATTCCTTTGTATTCCATCTGGCAAGGTCTACATGTATAAAGTGGTATTTCCAATGTATAAATTGTTGGTCTGGCAAGATTCTATCACATGGTTTCCTGTATCTTTATATTACCAACGTCATAATTCCTTAGTGTATTTCCAACTTTGCACTCTAATCACCATCAATTATCAATGTATATTGATTACATGTGTGATTTATTTCAGACTGCTAGTGTTAGTACACATATTCAATTTTTCTATTTTTGGTCTTGTGGTTAACATCTAAATTTCAATGATACTTATATTAACTGGTCTTTGCTGTGATCCCGGAATCTATGCTACTAGTATTTCCAACACCAGCAGGGTCATCCATGGTAGACAGCCTTTGGCAGAGCTTTCAGACAAAGGCCATGAAAGACCTGGTGATCCACTTTTAAAAAAACTGGCCAGTGAAAACCTTGTGTATAGCAGCTGAACATCGTCTGACGTAGTGCTGGAAGATGAACTGCTCAGACTGGAAAAATGAAAAGATGACTGGAGAAGTACTGGGTTTTCAGAGAAAAGTCAACCTTAGTGATATGGATGGAGTAAAACTTCCAAGGCTTTTATCTGATGATGTGGAATGACTCAAAATGAGAAGAGAAATTTGCAACTGTGCATAATAATTCAAATGTGAAATGTATGAAAAACAGACCTAGGAAAATTAGATATTGTCAGAAATTAAATAGAATGCTTAATGATCAAAATGTGAGGAATTAATGAGCTGAAATGGACTGGTATTAGCTCTTTTGAATTACAATCATCTAGTCTATTATGCTGGGAATGACACAATAAAGAGGTATGGTGGTCCATTCATCATCAGAAAGAACATTTCAAGATCTATCCTGAAAGATAACACTGTGATAGGATAATACCCATATACCTACAAGGAAAACCAGTTAATACATATTTTGGGGGTGATGGTGAGGAGACAAACTTGAATTCATATCCACTGGTAACCAGTTTTCAGGGAGTTGACTCTGACTTGTGGTTTCATGTGTGTTAGAGTAAAACTCCATGAAGTTTTCAACGGCTGTTCTTTTAAAGTAGATTTCTGGCTCTTTCATTTGAGGTGCTTCTAGGCAGACTTGAATTTCTAACCTTTGAATTAATGCTCAAATGCATTAGCCATTTGCACCACATAGGGGCGGGTGCTTTATTTTTCCAGAAGCCCCTCAACATTGTTTCTCGGTGGGACAATGGCCCTAAACAGAGTGGGTTCCTTATTCTTATTTTGGAATTCAAAGAAGGGGCTTATGGCCAAGTCCTACTAAAAATTTTGCTGTCCACCCCTCTCCCTGGGTACTGTTTGTGTCAAGTTATCTCTTCCACATTTTTTCTTTTTTCAGTTTGTCAATTTAGTTTTTTAACCTATCCACTTTTGTACTTAAGAATCCAAACCAGGAAATTACCTATGAGGTTTTGAGTTTAGCAACATTAGGAGTTTACTGGCACAGAGAGGAGAGAATAGTTTCTATTTAATTGAAGTTCTTTTCCTAAAAGAATTTCATTCTAAAAACTTTGTGTTAAAATAAAAAAAAAATTTTAGAAGTGTCTAATACAGTGTCTATTATCATAGCTAATTTCTAATATAGTGTCTATTTTTCATATCTTTGCCCGAGGAAGGGTAAGGAAATCACTTGTATCCAGAAGAGCAAATATGGGCACAGTGAGGATAAGTAAACTGCTCAGGTCGCCAAGGAAGCCAGGAGAAGGGTGGGTGAGCTGCTCAGTCTCTAAGACTGATGGGAGTATTTACTTGCTGGACCCAAAGGCGTGCAGGCTTTCCTGCAGGCGTGGCAGGAGGGACCTGCATGTCTGTCTCCATTGTTCTGCACTGTTTACTCGCAGGATGTGTAAGCACTGCATGCCATGTAACAGCAGATGTTCTGCGTAGGAGGAATTTCATAACTCGCACATACTGAAGCATGGTTTTTTCCAACTACACTCAGCTCCTTTAATTGAGCACAAAAATGTTAAACTGCTTCCCAAACCCACCAATCCCTCAATCCTAAAAGAGATACCGTTAGTGCCTTTGATACTTTTTCTTTTTTTTACTGAAAAACACATATGGCTGTCTAATGAAAGTATTATATAAAACTTTAAAAAGTTTTTCATTGTATATTAGTTTGCTTACAAAGTTCATACACAGTGTGTTTCACACTATTCTTCATTCACATTGTGTTTCATGCAATCATTCTCACTCATTAAGTTTAATAAAATTAATCACCATTGGACTATGCCCACCATTACCCTGTCTTTTCAGGTCCCGGTGGGAACTTTCCCATTTCCTTTACCCTCTTTCCATCCCCCAGTTTATGCAACCCAGTGATTTCACCCCTACCCATCCTCACCCCTCGGCTACCACCCCTTTCCCCTTGGAGCCCTATCCTTATTTTACTAATTATCTATTACTTTTTTCAGATGGGTTTAATCAGAATGGCCTGGAATGGGCCTGACTATCAAACACAGGTTCTTTGGCATGATTCCCACCTGTTGACAACAGCCTCCCCCTCCCATCTCGCACCTCACTCTCCACCTGATGATCTTTTCTACAGCAGGTCAGCTGATTCTCCTCCATGGACATGCCCTGCCCATTCTACCCAGTTGTCTCTGCTCAGCTGGCTTTCCCTTCCTGCAGGGCCCTATTTTGTCCCTCCCTCTGTCCTCTCCAAATCCTGGCCCATCTTCACGACCTAACTCAGTGCCCACCCCTTATCAGCCCACTCACTGTCCTTGCCCTTCTCTGTACGTGGTGGCCTCCCTTCACTTAACAGGTGTACGTACTAGCCCTGTCTCCACACGGCTGGGAGGGCAGGAATGGAACATCACTTACAGTTTTCAGAATTCCCTGTGTGGCCCATGAATGGATGGGAATCGAGTGATTTGCCATTCAGTTAGTTCTGGGCTAGTGAAACAAGTTAACATAATTGGCTGCTAACTAGAAGGGCAGAAGTTTGAGATCACTCAGAGGTGTACATGGTTAAAGGCTTGGTGACTGACTGCAAACACATCCACACAGAGGTGCCCCATCAGAAAGTCCTGCCAATCTACTTCTGAAAAAACAGAGACTGAAATCCCCGTGAAACATAGTCCTACGGTAACACACGTAGGCAGCCACAGAGAATTGACTCTATAGTAACTGGGTTGGGTCTTTTTTAAAAATTCTCTAAAGAGAAAATACAGAGCATACAGATCTGGGAAGACTTGCCTCTGTTGGAAGGCCCTCTGGCCCATTTCCCTGGCCGCTCTCTTCACTTCCTCAGGCACTGCGTCTTTCTCAGCCTCAGACACCTGGTAGACGTTATGGCCTGCATCCAGCCGGTAAGGGCCTCCTTTACCACCCAGGCCCGCAGTGTCTCTTCCTCCTGGAAAGAACAAATGAAAACACCAGTGGTTAGTATGATCCTGGACACAAAAGCCGAATTATGTCTGTAAGACAGTCCCATAAGTACATTAATTATATTTAAGGATAAATTAAACAATCAAGTCACTTTTCTTCTGAAATAGGGTGTTCCCCTGGTGAGCTAGGCTCTTCCTTTTCTCTATCCATCCAAGTCCTACCCACGTTTCAAGGGTCAGTCCAAACTCTCTGAAGCCTTAAGTCTCTAACTCAGATAGATCTTTGCTTTTGTGTACTGTTTGTTACCTTTTAATATATTCTTTTCTTACTGTTGAAGAAAAGGAATTATATTTTATATATCTTCATACCTCTGCACCTATCACATCACAGACAATCTCAGAACTATCATGGATAGCACATATTTTTAGAAATGTGCCTTTAATTACATGAACAACACTTAGGGTCATTATTATATTACCTTATTTTTCCTTAAAATGCCAAGAGAAAGACTGGCTAGAGATATTGTTCGAAAAGAAAAAGAAATTATTGTAGTGAGTTATGCGACCTATTTATGACATAATACCAGTAGCGGAGCAAAGATTACAGTTCCTTGTGTAAATAGTTAAGTGCTTAAGGACTAACTCAAAGATGGGTAGAGTATCCCCATTCAAGGAGCCTTAGAACAAAGATCTGGCAATCTACTCCCAAAAGGCCAACCTACTGAAAGTTTTGCAGGTTAGTTCTACTCTAAATTTTTTAGCCCGAACTACAAGTCAAGTATTACATCAACTTCAGCTTTATCTTAGAGGAATAAAAACCTTCCCTGCTCTTTGAAAGCAAAGCAAAAGGATTTATTGAAAGCATAAGAACATTTGAATGGGGAATTACAGCTCTGCATGCAGAGACCATGACTCCAAGGGAGGCAGTTCTAGGAAGTTGGATATAGACTGGGCTCAGAGGATAATAGTTCAGAATATTTTTTTTAAAAATAATATCCTCTTTTTTACATTTATTATTAATTTCAATGAAAATTTACAGAGACTTTGGATTTCCATCCATTCATTATTACACTTTTCTCCTCTCCCAACCCTGCCCCCCAGTACACTACCCTCTTGAAAAACTAAAAGAAAAATTCTTTTATTGTTTTACAATCCCTCCCCCCAGGTCCACTCCACTATGCAGCCTTCGCTCTGGACTCCTGTCATGACAAACATACCTAATCACATATCCCTACTAAACAGTTTTCTCCCTCATCTGTTTCAATGCAGTATACATTATTGAACCCATCTTTCTCAGTCTCCCCCCCCAACCCCGATGTCAGTCCTGTTTTGCAACAGTGGCACCATGCAGTATTTGTCCTATTTTGACTGAGATACTTCATTCAGCATAATGTCCTCTAGGCTCACCCATTTTGAATAATATTGCATGAGTTCCTTGGTTTTTCAATGCAGTGTAGTATTCCATTGTGTGAATATACCACAGCTTCTCTATCCATTCGTTTGTTGATGGGCACTTAGGTTGTTTTCAACTCTTTGCTATTGTGAACAAAGCCACGATAAACACGGGTGTGTATATATCTGCTTGGATGTCAGTTATGGTCTCTTTGGGGTAATTTCCCAGTAG